CTCTGAGCCTCACTTTACTGCTCTGTACAATATTGGCCTTATCGCCTGGTTTGCCTGCCCTACAGGCCCTACTGTGATTACAAAAGGAGCCATTATACATAGGAAAAGCAACTGGTGCTGCTTTAGTACACTCATTCACCAAATGAGGACTTGTGATTCTGATAAGGGAGAGGTAAGATCTGGAGTCTTCTGTATCTTGAGGCTTTTTAGGTTGTATCTATGAAGGGGAAAAAAGGAGGAAAATATTTTTAAACAGTAAAGTGTTGTACATATATTATTACTATAATATACTGTATTATAATTACTATCATTATATAAAACCCACTGCCCTCGAGTTGATTCCTATTCATAGTGACCCTGTTGGACAGAATAGAAATGTCGCATAGGATTTCAAGGCTGTACATCTTTACAGAAACCTACTGCCTCATCTTTCTTCTGTGGTGCAGCTGGTAGGCTTGAACCACCAACCTTTTGGTTAGCAGTCCAATGCCTTAACCACTGTGCCACCAGAACTCCTTTTATTATAGACTCATAACTAAAGGAGGTACAGCAAGCCCTCCTCGTATAGTAGTTAAAGGTCTCAGCTGTTAATCAAAATGTGGGCAGTTTGAACCCACTAGCAGCTCTGTGGGAGAAAGATGTGGCAGTGTGCTTCCATAAAGATTCATAGCCTTTGAAATCGTATGGAGCAGTTTTACTCTGTTTTATAGTGTCACTTGGAGTTGTAATCAACTTGATGGCAGTGGGTTTGGTGTTTAGTTTTTAAACAAGGAAAGGTAAATAGACTCATTTTAACTTCAATATATTGAGCTTCAGGAGCTCTGGTAGCATAGTGCCTAAGGCACTTGACTGCTAACCAGAAGGCTAGTGGTTCCAACCCACCAGCCACTCTTTGGAAGGAAGGGTAGGCAATCCACTTCCATAGTGATACTGCCTCGGCAACCCAAGGAGGGGTCGCTATGAGTCGGGGCTGATTCGATGACACATAACAACACAACAACAACATATTGAGCTTCTACTATGACCCAGATCCTGTTCTGATGTTTTCCATCCATCATGTTATTTCATACCTACAATCATCCTTTGAGGTGTAGGTATCATCACCCTCAGTTACTGAGGAGGAAAGTGAGACACAGAGAGATGAATAATTTACCAAGTGTCAGAGAGCTGGGAAGTGGTAGAGCCTGAATTGGAAACTAGGTTTTCTGGCTCAAGTTATGGTTTGGTCACAACACTGCATAGTTTAGTTTTGTTTGTTAGTCCTCTAGTTGGTGAGAAAAGGCAAGGGAAGCCCATGTGACAGACTGAGAAAAGTTTTAAAGGCACGGATAAGCATAACGGCAAACTGGCTAAAGACTGTTATATTTGTATGTGCAGAGTCTGATAACTGCTCACCACCTTCACTGTTACTCCTCAGGCCAAGCCACCACCTCCCCTCATATGGAACCTCCTAATTGCTGTAACTTCCTACTTGGTCTCACTCCATACCCCACCTCCATTCCATCTATTCTCAGTAGAGCAGCCAGAGAATCTCTTATGAAGTCAGACCATGTCACTGTCTCCTCAGACACCTCCAGTGGTCCCCCTCACATAGAATAAAACCCAAAGCCTTGTAGGGATCAGAAATCACTTCCTCTGGTCTAGTCCTGGCCACCTTCCTGACCTCACTCCTTCTACTCTTCCCCTTTATTCCTCTTGCTCCAGCTCCCAGCATCCTTCTTTTCTACAGACATGCAAGGCAGGATCCAACTCTAGGCCTTTGCATTTGCTCTTCCCTTTGTCTGGGATGTTCTATCCTCAGTTATTCACATGCCTTACTCCTTCACTATATAATTCACACAGTCCAGTGAGAAGACAGAAATCACAACAGTTATTTGAACAATAAAGTGTTTAATTTAAAATAAATAAATAAACTTTTTTTTTTTGGATCACTTTTAGGTTTGCAGAAAAATTGTGCAGAAAATACAGAGAATTCCCATATACCCCTCTCCTCCCACCACCACCCCACAAAAACTGTTGCCACGGAGTGGACTCCAGCTCTTGGCATCCCCATGTGTGTCAGAGTACAACTTTGCTCCATGACATTTTCAATGACTCAATTTTAGGAAGTAGATCACCAGCCATTTCTTCTGAGGTGTCTCTTGGGAGAGTTGAACTTCTAACCTTTTGATTAGTAGCTGTGCATGTTAACCATTTCAACCAACATATTGAATTCATGTGCTACAGTAAGTCTAAGACCATCAGACTTACAGACAAGTCATACTTGCCCTTTAATGTTACGTAAGCGTGCCTTTACTTTGAAATAATTGAACCAATTCTAAAAAGTCAAAGTCACTGCCATCAAATCGATTCAGACTCATAGTGACCCTATAAAATAGGTTAGAATTTCCCATAAGGTGTCCAAGCCTGTAAATCTTTAAGGAAAAGAGACTGTCTCATCTTTCAGGTTTGAACCACTCCCCTTTTGGTTAGTAGCTGAAGGCCTTAACCACTGCACCACCAGAGCTCCTGAACCAGGCCTCCCTGCAAGAAATTCTTCATTACCATCCCCTTCACTTGTTGAATGTTCAGTTTTTAAATCATTGAAAAGTATTTGAGCCTTTCCTTGCATTAAAATAAGGCTATGTAAGAACCATGTGCCCTTGTTCTACCTTACCTACAAATTTGACTTAAAGGCACACTTAGGAACAGATCTTGTTTGTAACCTGCCTGTACATTTGTGAACCAATATGGATATATTATTATTAACTAAGATCCTTACTTCACATTAGAGTTTACTTTTTGTGAGCAATGACATTTTAATATTTTTTTAAAAACAAATACCTGGTAACTACGAATAAAGAAAGGTTAAAAATGAACAGCCAGGTACTATGAAGGTAGCCACTGCAGGAAGCAGCTACTACCTCTAAGGCTTAGAGAACAAAAGACTCAACCACAAAACCTAGAAACTTAAAGAAGGAACCCCCCACAACTGAGATGCAAACCTCTGAAGAGGAAGTGCTGGCCAGTGGAGCTGATATCTCTGAGGGGCTGCAATAAAGCTGGCTGAGCAGGAGGTGGAAAACAAAAAATCAGGTTCAGCTGTGGGTACACGAAGGCACTGCCTTTGCTGGGCAGAAGGAGCATTTTCTAGGATCGTGCTCACAGGAATCACCAGTGGACAAGAAGCTCCCAGGGAGGAGCAAGTGCCTTCTTCTTTCTCCGGGTTTCCATCTCTCTCCTGCACCCCTACTAGAAGAGCCTGGCAAAGAGCCAGCATACAAATCCGACAGCTGGCTTGCAGAGTCACAAATCCAAGTAGGAAAGGGCAGTTTCAAGGCTGAGAGTCTATGACTCAGTAACTAGCACCACGACTTCTATCAGTCTGCTCACGTATCTTGCCGGGACCTTCCCTGGCCACTCTATTGAATAGTGCATGATGAGTCCCTTCTGTCTCCTTTCCCTGTCTTACTCTTCTTCACACTCATCCAGCTAGCCATTGGTAGCAGATGCTTTAGGTTCTCCAGCTTGCATCCCCTGGCCCACCTCGCAGCAGCCACTGCCGTGGACAGTTCTGTGAGTGCTCAGATCCCTGCACTTCAGTTCCCTTGTGCTACTCAAATAACACCTGCTTCTAGCCAGCTAAGAGAACTACTATTCTGTAGATCCAGGTTTCCTAGTTTGGGTGCTATTGACGTTTTGGGCCAGATAATTCTTTGTTGTAGTGCTGTCCTGTGCATTGTAGCATGTTTAACAGCATCCCTGGCCTCCACTCAATAGATGCCAGTAGCACCCCTCCCCCACTTTAGCACCAAAAATGCCCGCAGACTCTGCCAAGTGCCCCCTGGAAAGCAAAATGCCCCCATTCTATCACTGAGAACCACTGCTCTATATTATACCTGGTCTGGGGCTGCATGAGAACCAGTTAAGAACATAGATCTTGAGTCAAATAGACAAGCTTGATTGGATGCACCTTCACTTATTACCTGTATTCTCTTGGCAAGTCACTAACTTGACTATTCCTCATTTTGCCCAACTATAAAATAGAACTAATAGCAATAACTGCCTTACAGGGGCTGTTGTGAGGACTAAATATAGTAATATGGAAAGGATTTATTACAGTATCAGGCACATAAGTCAGGAATATATTTCTATAATTCAAAGCAAAGCATCAAAGTCAGTAAGCCACCAGCAAGTAGTTTTGTCAACATATGATGCCAAATAACAGATTGGTATTTCATTGTTTTACTTTTTTTCCCCATCACTGAATGGTCTTGACAAGGGCCTCAGAGCAGTAGGCGGAAATCGTGTTCTAAACTCTGTAGAAATTGCATAAGAATGACTGCCAGAATTCGGAATCTGGGTAACTGATGAAGAGACATGCCAGCAATTGAAATTGATTTAAATACAATTAACATATTGAGTACAACTGTGCAACACTGCTGCGAAATAATAAACACTTGTCAAGTAAAAATTTCACTGTGATGCTTAGCATTGAATTGCTATTTGATTCATCTAATTGATTTATTCTTCCGAATAGCACCAAAAGGAATTCAAGTATCAAATACTGTTCCATTGTCATTCAGGCTGTGAGCAGTTTTCTAATCTCAGTCAGCACGTTGGTATTGGTGAACACAGAACTGTGTCCTGTAGAGGGGACTTAAAATATTCAGGTACAGGTTGAGGTGGTGCCTAACGTTCATTTTCAAAGTATCACAAGAGCCCCAGGCTGGGAGGAAAGAAATCTGGATTTTAATATAAGCTCTGCCACTCACTGTGTAACCCTCAGCCTGCCATTTCCTCCATGCCTTCAGTTTCCCCACCTTTAAAATAAGCAACTTGGACTAGGATGCAGCTCTCTGATCTTCCCTATCTGTGAGATACTGCCCTATCCCTGCTTCCACCTCCCCATGCTCTCAGTGGATAGAGTAGAAAGAAACTCAAAAATGGAGGGAGCGTTCTCCTTGATGGATCTGAAAGATGCCTGTTATATCCTCACACTGTTTTTCCTTCCTTCCTAGGTACACAGTTCTGCACAGTGGTCATCACCAGGAACTGGAGAAATTGCCCATACACAATGACCCAGAATCCCTGGAATCATGCTTCTGATGGCAGACGTGGCACATAACTAAGCCATTCATTTCCATTCATGTTTGCATGAACAGGACATTCTGACATCACTCCTGATCCTCATCACCCCTAGTGAGGCACAAGCCAGTGGGGGCCGAGAGCCCAGGAAAGGTACATGGAAGACAGTGCTGGACAGGAACTGTCCAGAGCACAGAAGATCTCAAAGTTATGAAGGGACCCAGGCATCTTCAGATCCAGTTTCCCATTGAATGCAGAAGTAGCAGCCTCCAGTAGTAAACTGAAAGTTAGCCAATCTCTGCTTGCATACCTCCAGGCACAGGCGCTCACTACCTCTTAATATAGTTCCTTCTATTATGGAGCTCTGGTAACATAGTGTCTAAGGCACTTCACTGCTAACCAGAAGGCTGGTGGTTCAAACCCACCAGCCACTCCTCGGAAGGAAGGCTGGGCAATTTACTTCTGTAGTGATACTGCCTCGGGGGAGGGGGGTCACTATGAGTCGCTTTGACTGGACGGCACATAACAACAACAACAACATTATGGTAAAGTTTTAATTGTAAGGAAGTTATTTCTCTTGTTGGAACACAAATATGTGGCTGCTCCAGCTTCCATCTGGGACCATGCAGTTGGCTCCCTCTGCTCCTTAGATATTTGAAGACAATGATCTGCCCCTTACTTGCTTCTTTAAGTCTTCTCTCTACACTAAACATCTCAAATTCCTGTCCACTCTGGTCATCTTTTTTGGACATGCTTCAGTTGGTGAATTAATCAAGTCTCTCTTAATGAAATTAGGCTATCAGTGCCAACACACCGATCCAGAAGCACTGAAGTACTGACAGGGAAACAGCAAGATTTTGATTTCTTTGTAGCCATGGAACATTTTTATTTTCTCTTCTTGGGGACATTCTACAGAGACTCGCTTAGGCTTTAGTTTTGAATCCATTACCAAAAGCTGGCATTTGATCTGGTGTGTGTGTTTAAAGATGACTTTTTCTCATTGACATATTGGCTATGAGGCCAATGGAATGAATCTTGATTCACTTCCCTTTCATAGCAATGGAAAATGAATCTACGCTTTTCCAGAGAATGTTGACGGGGCATGGTCTTATAGCTCAGATTTTGTGAGGAAGACTGAGTTGCTCCCCTGGGCATCTTCTAGGGGTACTTGGTCTCAGGCAGTGCAGCTTGTTCCCTTGGGAAAAGACATCACTACAACCCAACTTACTGGCTCTCCTGGAAAGTTTCATCACAATCCTGCCTTTGAAGCTCCTGGGGCTACCTACCATTTTTCTTTCTAGCAACTTTTTTTTTTTTTTTATACCAGCATCTTAGTCTCTCCAAACTGTCAAAGAGATGGTTCCAATTGCATGTCAAAGCCTACACTGTCCCAGTTTCCTAATTTACTTGGCAGTGACTTATCCTCCCAAGATGAGACTCCAAGTGAGGCAAAATTTTCCACCCACCTTTATTTTGGCTTTTGATAATATTGCTATTGAAAGGACTTAACTGCTAGTCCTTATAGTGAAACAAAGGGAACAAAGGAATGTGGTGGTGGTGGGGTGCATACATATCACACACTATAAGACAGACACACATGTGACAAAATTTGCAAACCTCACAGAGTTCTCCTCATTCTAGTACTTGGTCTGTTGACCCTGCTTCTCTTCTTGAGTTGTCTCACAAGCCACAGTTTCCTCCTCTTCACATATTTCATTCCTGAGAACAAAACTCATTAGCCTTCCATCTTCTCTCTGTCCTCAGATATGGTGAAAGGCATGATCAGATCCAACGTAGAACCAGGAGGACCAACTGTGTTACTTTTAGCATCAAAAGTCCCACATCACAGAAACTCCTCAGTACTGGGCAAACTAAGATGGTTGGTCACTCTACTGATAATACCATCCCTAATAGACCTCATCACTGTTCATTTCCATTATGCACTTTTTCTTGGGAATGGCAGAGATTGAAGGTCCAGAGTTCTCCACATGCTGGGTGAACAGGGTCTCTATTCTCCAAGGACAAATAAATTGTCAGCAAAGGACCAAGGCAGAGACCAAAAGAACCAGATTACAGGGAGAAGGAACATGTTTAGTGCTTTGAGGCAGCTGGTCAACTTTGTTTAATGCTCCCAAAGTTGATAGGATCTATTATTTAATATGTACATGCAAATATACATATATTTTAAAAAAAAGAAAAATAGGATTTTTCTCCCTATGAAATGCTTCTCTCCCCAGGAGTTTAGCAAGCATATCTGCTTATGTAAAATATTATTTCTCAGTGGATCTCTTATATTATATGGCAACTTGGATTTAAGAGGGATCCACAGATTACAGAATAGATGGGAAGATGAGATTCTACCATATCATGGGCCTCTGCCTGGCTCTCCACACATGCCCTTATATGCCAGCTCATATTGGTGTCTGTAGGGGTAACAGCCACCAGACACCAGGGAAAGAACAACAACTATGGAAACCATAATTCTTGCCAGTACCCAGAAGGTGGTCTGCTTTGCAGAAGAGGGCTTCTTTAGCGTGCTTTGCTCTGTCTCTTTGGATCAGGTCGGAGGATGATGTGGGTACGGCACCAAATACCCTCATTGGAGGCTCAGCGGGCAGGACCAGATTTGTTGTCTCTGAACAGCTGCTGGCCTGGCAGTATTTAAATCTGTGGCTTCTAAGAGTCCAGACAATATAGTGTGTGTATGGAAGACTCAGAAGGACACATATTTTGCCTGAAGAATGAGTGGGTCCTTCTTCTCTGAGAACTTGTAGAAGTGCCATGAAGCCTGCAATGTCCAGAATGAAATGTTCCTAGGGAAGAGGGGGATGTGTGGCCCCAGCCATGGATGCCAGATGGTCCTTGACAATCACTTGGGCTATGGATGCTGTAACCCAACTGTCCCCATGCCTGGGCATAAATGGATTCACCTCTGCTTCCTTTCAACTGTCATTCCAGCACGAGGGCTGTCCAGGCAGAACCCTGCAATGCCCAGCCCAACTCTCACCATGAGCAGTTAGTCAGCAAGACAAAAAACAAATTCTTCAACTGACAACCAAGTATGTGCTTGTAGAAAAACCTTAGCTTTCTGAGATTTCCCCTCGTCTCACCAACATTTCCACTCCATGCTGCTAACTTGCTCTGTCCTGAAGCGAATTGTTGTCCAGCTGAGGAATTGGGGAGTGGGAGGGTGAGCATGGGGGTGGATGAGGGAGGGGACCCAGGGAGGGGATGGGGAGCGGATGTAACTAAATTGCCTTTAATGTTGTCTTCAAGTTAGAACAAAAATGATGTCTTCTTGGTGCTGTGCTGTCTGCCTGTTTATCAATGTTGTTTTTCTCTTTGTGCTCTGGTCAAAGTCCTTCCTGGAACAGCTGTTTGGGGAGGGAGGGTTGGGGAAGACATGCATTTACCTTTTCTAAGCATGATTTGTGATCTATTTTCCACACGATATAGAAAATTTAGGACGAATACATGGTTTGCATTTAAAAAAATCAGGAATTGTTTTGAAGGCCTGAATTTGTTGAGGCCTTAAGCAATACTCGCTTCATTTGTCTCACTTACAAGACAGGGGTGATCTCTAAGCTTGTAGAATTCTTGTGTGTTCAAACACGGGTCATCCAAGGACCACCACTATGACTTTTACCAAATATGTGTTTTGCCTGTACTGTTATTTACTTAGTGTTTTTATGTAAATTAAGTTTTCACTTACATAGATTTATTTCGGAAAGGATGATTGTATCAGTTTCCAAAATAGAAAATCAATATTCCTCGCCATAAATAGAAGGCAACCATAGAGATAAATAAATGAAAACAAAACAAGGTTATTATTTTCTAACTAGATGCCAAGTCTGAGAGCTTGTCCTCCGCTTCCTTGTTTAAAAAGGAGATGAGTGTTGGAGAGCTGGTAGGGACCCCCACTTCTAGCATGATGGGATTCTTTCAGTTAATTGGAAGGGTTACAAGAGAATTTATAAGAAATGCACTTCCAAACTTTATGAGTCAATGTGATTTAATGCTGTGGCTGTGTTCCACCCAACATCATTTTGTCATTTTGTGTCCCAGCAAAGACAAGTGGCACTCCACAGTTTGGGAAATATGGTGATTAGGGAAGTGAAACTACTTATATTTTTAACCACTGCGTTATCTGATTATAAGATTAGGCTTCTCCTTCCCTTGAATTCTTCTTTGAGATTACCTAGAGTATATCTTAAAATTAATATTGATGATGATATTATTTAGTAGTAATGACTATTGTTGTTATGTGCCATCAAGTCAGACCAGACTCATAGCGACCCCTCCTTGGGTTTCCGAGTAGATTGCCCAATCTTCTTTCCAAGGAGTGGCTGGTGGGTTGTAGCCACCAGCCTTTGGGTTAGCAGTCAAATGCCTTAGGCACTACGCCATCAGAAGCAGTTCTTATCATTTGCTAGGTCTATTTGTACTTTGTTGTTGTTGTTGTTGTTATGTGTCCTCAAGTCGGACCTGACTCATAGCGACCCCTCCTTGGGTTTCCAAGGCAGTATCACTACAGAAGTAGATTCCCCATCTTCCTTCCGAGGAGTGGCTGGTGGGTTTGAACCACCAGACTTCTGGTTAGCAGTCAAGTGCTTTAGGCACTATGCTACCAGAGCTCCTAGAGCAGCTAAATTTTATAAGCTCCTTTCTGCTATGCACTGTGGTAAGTGCTTTTCATGTGTAATCTCACTTAATCCTCATAAAATCATCATAAAATGGTACCAAAATTGCCCCCAGTTTACATATGAGCCAACCTCACTTGAGAGATTTGATGGCTTGCTCATAGTAGTAGATGTGGGAAGTGTGGATTTGCAATGCAGCCCAGGCAATGTGATGCTAACACCCACAGTTATAAATACATGCAACACTGTTTGCTATTGGGACTAATTTATTCCACATGCATTTTATGCATGTCCTCAACCCAATGCTAGGAGAGAACAGTGAACAAGCCAGGGTGGCCTTTTCCCTTCTATTGCCTCAGAATTTCTCCTCCACACCAGCTTGGGTGCTGGTGAGTAACTTGAACCCTCCTATTCTAGACTGAAGGAACTCTGGTGGTGCAGTGCCTAAGGCACTTGACTGCTAACCAGAGGTTGGCTATTCAAACCCACCAGCCACTCCATGGAAGGAAGATAGGGCAATCTACTTCCATGAAG